ACAGGGAGGATGGCAGCACTGGAAAGGCTCTTTGCCTCGGGCGGGCTGCGGGAATTTAGGGACTCAGTGGATGCTGGCAGGTTAACACTGATAATTCAACAGGCACTCAGAGAAGGGGTCAAAGAGGAACCTTGAGAGTGGGAAGGAAAGGCTGAGGGAGGCCCGGGGGGAGGATGGATTAGGTTTCAGAAGGGCCAAGCATTTCTGAGTTAAGGAGCACCAGGGAAGAAACAGGAAGAAGCAGTGGGAAGACAGACAAAGAGGTGGCTCAGATGGGAGGCAGCAGGACACTAAGAATGGGCAGGCCGGGATGCCATGCAGGACTTTTGGAGATCTGTTAACACATCCAAAAAGGTACTCAGTAGTGCACCAGTGTGTAGCTAAAGACGTGGAGATGAAAGGCTGGATATACTCTTGGTGTGTACTCTACCTTAGTTTAGTAAGTGATGCTATACTCTAATTCCAGGGGCAGGGAAGGTGGCCCAAGAATTGGTGACTGGCTGGTAGAAAGAAACCCATCAGCCTGAGAAGGCCTCAGGGGGACACAAGGGAAGAAGGAACTGCAGGAGTAGAGGGGCAGCGCTGAAAACACTGGATGGGTGCTAGTAGAGGCTGGCAGGAAGAGCAGCTAAGTGTCAGGTTGATAAAAAATGATTTTAACACCTCTCCCAAGAGCAACATTTACCTTGTACCACTTGGATGCCTCCAAGAAAAGTGAGTTCCTTATATACAATGAATGCCTCAGGGCTTTAGGGCTTATTTCTCTGAAGGAACTAAGCAAAAAGCAAAAACAAACAAACAAAAACCCCCACCATGATTAGAGGTATGCTTTAGGCAGACAGAGCATATCCCTGAAAGTGCTAATGCAGCTTAACAACCCTGAGTATACTGAGATAACAGCTGCAGCCACCTCTCAGTGACTTCTCTTTCCAGGCATGGCGCCCACCTGTTCTCCTCCAGCTTTTCTTGTACTTGATAAAGTCAAATATGGAAGCAGAACCTTCCTGTTCTAAGCAAACAGAGGCAGCAGCATCAAGGATGAAAATATGGCCCACCTGTTCTCCTCCAGCTTTTCTTGTACTTGATAAAGTCAAATATGAAAGCAGAACCTTCCTGTTCTAAGCAAACAGAGGCAGCAGCATGAAGGATGAAAATATATACCATCAGTATACTTCTTATAGTATAATATATAGACTTAACACCAGTTAATTTGAATCCCTACAAGAGAACTAACTGTCTTACTATTACTCTTCCTGGAAAGGGGATCACCTATTCGTTCTGTAATTTACTCCACCTCCCTGGCTCAGTAACAAGAAGGCATTTCCTCTTTTACATCCACAGAGCCCCTTGTTCCATGTCCTGCCAGAGCACCTACCCCACTGTCACGATCTGTTTACACATCTGTCAGCATGAGAGTGTCAGGGTCAGAGACAGGGTGCCTGATCTGTAAGATGTTCTGAGGTTCATAATCTCAGAGACAGCAAATAGCTTAACATATGATGTAACAGAGACATGTTTTAAAGTCAAGCCTGTCTCCAAAGCATGCAGTGTTTCACGGTCACCGGGTCTCTTGAAGCAGAAAAATGATCCTGAGCAGTCAGTCTGTGGTAAGCTTGGGCACAACATCGTAGTTCATAGGAGGAAGTAGGTGGACAAATAGGAAAGGCTTCCCAAGAGAGGGAGGTGTCTGAGTATTCAGGTGAGAAGTGAGGAAATACAACAGCACTCTAGGCAGTGGGGGATGTTGAAGGCAGAGATGGAGTTAAGAGATATGGAGTTACAGCTGCCCACATGCAGTGTGATTCTGTATTCAAGTCATAACGATATCTGCTACAGAAAATCACAAGCATGTTTGTCTTTCAGTTTGGATCTAAGAATTCACACAGGCACATAAAATCATTTACATACACGTCATGAAATTAGAAGTGAAACTGGGGGAATGAGGCAATTAGTAGGACAGGAGGAGGGAGAGAAAGAGAAAGGCATGGGGGGGCTATGGTCAAAGCACACGATACATGAAATCTACTACTATATACCCCAATAAAGATGAAAAAAAGTAACTACTTGTCCCAGAGCATCTACCAAAAGCCTTCCAGGGACTTTACACCTATTATTCATACAAACTCCACATACTCCTATGAAGAAGGTGTCATCTGACATAAAACAACCACAGTTGGGAGAGTTAGGATAACCTGTTGGTTATTGGAAGCCAGGATCTCAACCTAGATTAGCTGACTCTGAAGCCTGTGGTATCTTTTCTACTACTCCATGCTGCCTCCTACAGGCTGGAGGGTGTCCACATCCTCAGCTCGATGCTGTTGCTGAGCCTCTTCATAGCTCAGAGAGCAAGAACTACCCCTCTATCCCTAACCGCAGATCCAGGAGCCTAAATCCCTATAGACCTTGTGAGCAGACGGTCTTTGTGCCTAGGCCTGCCTTGGGTCTTGTGTGTTGCTACAGCAAAGTTGGTGGCCCGAGCACTCTGATAAAGCTGATGGGCAAGAAGGCAGACCCTTTGGAAAAGGTCAGCAGAGGTCAAAGACTTTGGAAATGGTACAGACAACAGCCCCTAGGACAAGAGAGCAGAGCAGGATACTGCCTCTTGGTTGGCTGGTCACACACACTGGTGGACTAAGGGAGGTCAAGAAGGGGAGAAGGGTCAGAAGTTGGCAGGCCTGCAGGCCCTGAGTGACAGCAACTTGTTCAGGTCTAGAAGGGAGAAACAAGTGGGCTAATGGTTTTCGCCCTCGAGGCTGGGAAACTGGGGCAGGAATATAAACGGACGACTCCTAAAAAGGCAGGTGGGAGAAATGTAAAGGTGGGGGCTCAGGGCATCTGTTCCAAGTCACTGGGCAGGGAAGCATGTCCCTGGAACATCTCAAAGAGCTAGCCTTGGCCTGGGGGGCTGAGGGTGGAGGGAGCCTCATAAAAGGTCCTGGCCTCTTCATTTTAAAGGTGTTCGATCTGTAAGAGGAGCGTGGAGGGCTCCTTGTGGAGTGAACTCTGTGTAGTGGCTGGGGGAAGCAGGGCTATGAACCAGGAGACAATGACTAGGCATATTGATTTTAAGGCATGGAAGAGAGAAGCCCCACAGTGCATGCTCTGATGCTTAGCTCCAAATGTCTCACCAGAGAGCTTTCTAAAGGACAAAGTCAGAAGCAGCCTCTGCTGGGAGTAGCATCCCGCCTCTAAAAGTACCAGTCATCCCAGGCACAGTTCCACACCGCAGAACAGTTTTTCGACCAAAGCATATTTTGGGGCTGGCCCCTTGAAGGTTGAGAGTACAGGCTGATTATGAAACCAGTGTGTCTATGGCTGATTGGAGGTGGAAAGGCTGGGTTCCTGGGAAGTGTCCCAAATCCAAGACAGACATGACATGGGCTGGAAAATGATTGGGATCCTGGACCTGGAAGGTCAAGACTCTGGGACAGAATGAACTTCTGTGAAGGCTGATTGTGGAAAAAATGGTTAGATCACAAACAATAGACGGTTGGTAGAAGATACAGAGTGATCACGGTTCATTAAAAAGGTGTTCCCACCAGTCACTGTGAAGCAAAATGGAACTGATCTTGAGGAAGAAGTGGGATCCCTCAGCCCCTGACAGAACCCACCCAAGGGAATGCCTACCAATCTTGGAGAGATTTCTTCTGTAAGGAAGACAATCACTTAGAGGACCTGAGGATCCAGCCCCCAAAACTGGGTCCCTGGCCTTCAGAAACTAGCAGGGAATGAGTGAATAGGTAATAGGTGGTTTTTTTTTTTTTTTTGGCGACAGGGTTTCTCTGTGGCTTTGGGGGCTGCACTGGACCTGCCT